AGATTACTTAACAATTAAACTATTTAAATCAAAAGAAGATTTCTGAACTCATTCTAGCAGTTCAACAAAATGAACACGTCATTATCTACCTTTATTAAATTAGTCTCTCCCAACTTTAATTACTTAAACACATAAAAATCTTTAATAACTCTCCCACTTAATTAAAACACGTGAAGAACATGTGATCTATATTTGAAAGTTAATAAACCAACAGAAATGGTAACAATACTAATAATAATAATATAAATTAAATATAATTAGTATAAATTATAATTAATATAGAATGAAATAATATAAAAATAGAATGAAATAATATGAAATATAATAAAAATAGAATAAAATATTATGAAATAAAAATGGAATAGTATAAAATATAATAAAAATAGGATGAAATATATGAGTAAAATATGAATAAATATGAATATAATTTACAAATCACATAAAAATCAATTATTTAATCAAAATAAACTATGAAAAATTATGTTAAAATTTATATCATAACAATATGATACTATATACTGATTTTTAATCAAACTCAAATCAGACTCAAACTCATATAATAGTTCAATTTGAGTTTAATTCAAACTTTAAATTTTTCTTGAACTCAAATTAAAGTCTGATTTGAGTTCAGTTCAAATTTCAAATTGAACTCAAATCCAGACAAAGTCTAATTCAGTTTAGTTTATAAAAATACTAGTAATAAATATATAATTTCATTATAAGATTATAATTTAATAATAATAAAATATAATTTTATTATTAAATAAATTTATTATTAATTTATTACATGTTTTTAATTATTATTTATTATTCTTGAGATTCTGAGAACTATAAAATTTATTTAAATTACTATTGCTTACATATATTTTAATGATTTATAAATATTACTTTAGCTATAATATTATTACTACTTTTGCTGTGATCTAATTGCTTGTTTTACTAATATTATATTACTGTTTTCATTATGATTATATTATTAATTTAGTTATAATCATTATATTTGTTTAATTCTCTAAAAATATCTATAAATAATATTTCATATTATTATAATATAAATATTTAGTTTTTATTTTATTAATTAATTCATATCATAAATTTAATTGAATAATATTCTATTGGTTAATTTTATATTTATATTTTATTAAATATTAGCTATATGAAATATTATTTGTAGATATTTTTAAATAATTAAACAAGCAATATGATCATAGCTAAATAAGCAATATAATTATAACAAAAATAACAATATAATACTAGCAAAATAAGCAATTAGATCTTAGCAAAAGTAGTATTTGTAAAACTATCAAATATTATAAAAATAAAGTATCTTAATTAATAATTTAGATAAATTTAATAGCTCTCAGAGTTTCAAGAATAATAAATAATAAATAACAAGTAAAAACATGTAATAAATTAATAATAAATTTATCTAATAATAAAATTATATTTTATTATTATTAAATTATGATCTTATAATGAAATTATATATTTATTATATAAAATTCTTTAATTAAATACTATTATTAAAAATTCCAAATTTCATTCTAGCTGATTACATCATAAACACATTGTTACCTTTCTTTAGATTCATTAATAATTATAGTTTAATTCTTGATGTATTATATAGATTTGATTATATTATACTCTCTCACCTATAATTCTTAATAAACTTTACTATAATTACCTTGATTAAGTAACTTATTATAATGTTATTAAGCACTTCCCAGCTCTCTCAAGGACTTATAAAATATGATAACAATATAGCTAATATCCAATAAAATAAGAACTAAATATTTATATCATAATAATACAAGACTTAAATAACTTGTTAATATTATTGTTAATTTTTCTTTAAGGAACTCTTATTTAAAAAATCTGTAACAATATTAAAAAATGATTACTCTTTTATAAATCAGTTATTTTATATATATTAATATCAAATTCCTTTATAATTATTTATATTCGTGAAAAAAATATTATTGAATCTGATAGTGTGATTATAAAAAGAATTAACTGTAATTACAAATATAAAAACTTAAGAAATTTTATATTATTTATAATTATATTTTTTTATAGTTACACTTTACTGTGATTCCAAATGTGTGAACATAAAGTTAATATTTCTTTTGTAAACAAGTTAAATGATATATAAATAAACACAGATAAATATCAAGTGTCTAATTCGCAAAGTTGATTTTGTCAATTTTCACGAGGATTTTATTATTCGACTGGCTAATTTTTTCCCACAGTTCACATATATTTATAAAAGCAATTTATTAAATAAATAATAACTTGACCAAACAAAGTAGCAGCGGTAATAGTTAAACTTTTGCTTTAAATAAATTATACAACTATAAGTATTATTATAACAGGATTCTCTTTAATCAATGAAAAAATTTAAAATAATGACCTAAGCTATATACGAAGTAGAGCTCACATTTCCACCATGACCAGTCCAGTTCAAATGAACATCTTTGTCTTTTGGATGTTTATCATCGGTGAATTCATCGAGATATCTGAATGTATGCGCACTACAAAAAAGAGCAAAATACAAACATGAATTTTTCCACAGCACTAATGATGATGAAACAAATAATAAAGAGTAATAGTTTACCCAAAGTAATCTCGCTGCGCTTGTAAAAGATTTGCTGGCAATCGTGCATGTCTATACCCATCATAGAAAGTCAACGCAGTGGCAAATGCTGGAGTAGGAATACCAAGTAGCATAGCTTGAGCTACGACTTGACGCCATGAATCTTGCGCTTTCTCGATCGCGTCTTTGAAGAAAGGATCAAACAAAAGGTTCTCGAGATTGGGATTATTTGTGTATGCGTTTTTGATATCGCCAAGAAAAGCGCTGTTATATAAATTTAATTTTAGTTGGAGAAATATATGATAAATCTATTATCAAAAGCACAATTGTTCTAAAATATAAAGAAAATAATTCACCTTCGGATAATACATCCGCCACGCCACATTAAAGCAATCCCAGCATTATTTAAATTCCAACGATTGTCTTTTGCCGCTTCACGCATCAACATAAATCCTTGTGCATAAGAGATTATTTTTGAGGCGTAAAGTGCTTGTCCTATTTGTTTTATGAATTTTTGTTTGTCACCCTGGAATTTAGTAACGGCCGGACCAGTTAAAATTCGACTTGCATTGACACGTTCAGTCTTTAGAGCGGAAAGAGCTCGAGAGTAGACAGCTTCACCGATCAATGTAACTGGTACACCAAGATCAAGTGACGATATTGCGGTCCATTTTCCAGTGCCTTTCTATATTCAAATAGCATTCATAACAAAAACATTCAATAAAAAAGACTAAATATGTGTCAGTATATATGTGTATGCTTACTTGACCAGCTGTGTCTAAAATTTTTTCCACCACTGCAGTTCCATCTTCATCTTTAAATTTAAGAATATTTGTCGTGATTTCAATTAAGAACGAATCCAATTCTTCTTTATTCCATTCCGCAAAAATGCTACTAATCTCTTCACTCGTAAAACCAACACCTTCTTTCAAGAGATGATAAGCCTCACATATAAGTTGCATGTCACCATACTCGATACCATTATGCACCATCTTTACGTAATGACCAGCTCCTGTTTCGCCAACCCAATCGCAACATGGCTCACCATCTGCCTTTGCAGAAATTGATTGAAATATTGGTTTCAGATGGGACCTATTTAAAATAGTTATACAAGATAAAGAAAGATTAAAAATAATATATGAAGAAAAAACGGGTTGAAAGCGAAAGCGCGTCCGCCTCACCAAGCAGCTGGAGATCCACCAGGCATGAGAGAAGGACCATAACGAGCGCCGTCTTCACCTCCGGATACACCACAACCAACAAATAGGAATCCCTTTGACTCCAAATATTGTGCTCGACGAATAGTGTCAGGGAAGTGTGAATTACCACCATCGATGATAATATCACCAGACTCCAGATAAGGAATCAATTTCTCAATGAAATCGTCAACTGCCGATCCTGCTTTCACCAAGAGCATGATTTTACGTGGACGTTTAAGCAACCGTGCTAATTCTTCAATCGAATGAGCGCCGATTATATTGGTGCCTATATTGAAATTAATAATTTAAAGGATTCATTAATATTATGTATGAATAGAAAATTTGATTATATACCTTTTGCTTCGTTAGCCAAAAAATGGTCAACTTTCTCGACAGTTCGATTATATGCTACCGCTTTGAAGCCATGATCATTAATATTAAGAATCAAATTTTGTCCCTGTATATTCAAAAATATTTTATGTTAGATCGATTAGATCCTAGTCATCAATAATTAGAAGATAAGTTACCATGACAGCGAGGCCAATAAGACCAAAGTCGGCACTAAATGCATTTAATAAAAATTTAATACATAAATTTATATTTAAATAATTTTTTCCGATTTTTGTCTTTTGTAGATTCATACGTTCAATAGAATTTTGCAAATTTGACGCGTCATTGCCAAAAATTAGCTTCCCTCTTAAAAAGATACTCACACAGCAGTTTGAGACATGTTAATATTTTATAAATGTTCTTGTTACTGAAAGAATTTAACGCGAATACAAGTATAATAAAATAGAACTCTTAAATGATGCACACTATCGCTATATATATATACACAGAAAATTTAGTTGATTAAAAACTTTCATCACGGCATCTTGTTTCGGTTTTGATATTTGTAATCAAGATTATTAGATAATTTAGCGTTAGATTATTATTTTATCCTGTATCATATAAATTAATTTGATGTATCAGCTAAATACACTTGCTAAAAAGAGAAAGGGATTGACATAGATGTTATACGTATTGTTGTGCCTCATATGTCGTTTTGTCTCAGGTGTCGATTCACGTGATCACTCTGGCGAACATTAATCTATTTCACCAGCACTAACCCTAACCCCAACTCTAGTAGAACTCTTATTCTAATTTGGACTGATCGATACCTGAGGCAAATCGTCACCTGAGGCACAACATATACGTATATGTATATATATGCAAGTTAAAACTGCATATCCATCTGGACGGATTTGATTCCACAACCAATTTTAATTCTCATGTGTTCCCGTACCGCAGTACTGACAAACCAATCAATTGGTTCGATTACTTTTGCTGATTTAAAGTGAAACTAGTTCTTTTACTTATTAAAATGTGAAACTGGTTTTAATGTAACAGTTATTAGTCCTTTAATTAATGAAAATACTAATAAAATCAATAACTAATGTGTCATCAAATTACTATTTGTTAAATTATTAAAGAGAACATTAAATAGAAGCAAATTTAACATTAAATAGCAAGAAGGCATGAATTATATAATTAAGTAAAAGACGCGAGTTCGAGGTACTCGATATCCACATCAGCCAAGTTAAAAGTCGTCACCTCGACTAACCACCTATCAAATAAAAAATTATTAATTAGTATTACACGTAAATAAATTATTTCAATCAGAACAAAAGAAATAATTTTAATTCACATACTTCTTTACAAGTAGGTCTCAGAACAATAGTGTGTTCATATTGAGCAGTATACGAGCCTTTAATATCTACCAAGGGCGGATAAGCTTCCACTATTCCCGCGTCAACTAGATTTTTTAGTGCGAGCGTGTATTTAGTTTCGCCTATTCGATCCAAATAACGACGACAGAACGGCAGTGTTCCGAATGCTTTATTAATTGTGTTTAGCAGTGATTTCGCCTTAGCAACTCTGTTTTTATAAATACAAAATATTAGTGAATGATCAAATTTCATGATAGTTTTTGACGAGTATGATGTTGAGCAGACCTTAGAGGAACATGACCGACGTCGTGTTTTTTGGCATAGTGACTGCATTCACCATCTTCATGAACGAAACCTTTTCCAGTACTCCCAAATGTTTCAATAGCGAAATATTCACCTTCCTAATGTTATTAAATGTTTAATAAAAAATAACGAATAATTATTGTTTAATAAGAAAAGAAAACATGCCTCCATTTTTGTCTGATCGCCACCCTTTACGATAGGCACAGATTTACCACCGTGGATTTGGTACGGAAGTATCGAGTGTCCATTCAGATTACGAATAGACTTTACTATATTTATTTGCAATTTTATGAAAATCTTTATATGCAATCAACTACAACAAATACTATTAAATAATGATAACATTACCTGGATAAGTTTTTTTGTTAATCTCTACTTCATAGCTTTCCATAACTTGAATATTGTATTTTATATGAGCACGATGAAGTAGATAATAAATTTATTGTCATAATCTCCAAATCTCTCACCAGAATAGCTTACCTTCTTGAATGGCAGCACCAATGTCGCATAGCCGTACATCAATTCCAGCTTCCTGTCAAGATAATAACAACATGTGAGTATAGTTTTTTTATAAAAATGAGAAGGCATAGATATAAACAAACATATGGAAACAATAAATACTCGGATGCCAGTATTTGTTGCGTCTTTGACTGCTGCTTTAAGAGGATCGTAAACAGGATTAAAAGCGAGTGTGAACGCACAATCGACAATTCGACCTATAAAATAATAGTTGTTTATGAGATTAATATTAGTTACGAAAAATATTGCTTAAATAAATAGTTACCATTTATATGAGTGCCAAAGTCGATTTTACAAATATCGTCGTATTGAAGTACCGTCTTATCTCCCGAGTTCGGAGTATAATGAGCGGCACAATGATTCAACGAGACTCCAGTGGGGAATCCAACACCTAATTACAGAAACAAACAATTCGATAAAATTTTAGTTTCTATAAATGAATAATTTTTTTGAATGTATCCTAAAGGATAGACCAATCAAATTATGTTGAAAAAGTTGACGGTGAGTAACTAGGAGAATAATCTCGTTTGCATAAAAATTGTTATCAACCATTGAATACAAATAAATATATTCGGCTGACCACAGAGTGTAGCAAACTATAATTATGGCGACGAAGATAAGCAATAGCAGTAATAGAAGTAAAAGTAAACCTTTTAGAGGCTAACAGCTTACCTGCTAGCAGCCCATTCTCTTCTATTAGGTTACGTGTTCCATTTTCGATAGTTTCACATATTTCAATCATTGTCATGCCGGGTTTTACGACTTTCTGTGCATATTTACGAACCTGGAAAAGATATTTAAATTATTATGTATTCGTAAAGTATCAATATTCGTCGTGCTCGATCTAAGATATATATATAAATGGTTACTTGTCTATGCACTTCTGCGGCACGACGAATCTCATTATAATCATCAAAATGCATTCTATCCAAATGTCGCTTTTCTTCGTTCGTAACCCTTGATAGATTACTTTTTACAAAGTAAATTACAATCAAGTTAATAAAACATAATGTAAAATAGAATCATCTGTTTTAGAAAAAAATCACGTACTCGTTTTTATATTCGCATATTTCACCTTCTGGATAGATTTTATTAGGGAAGAATTTCGAGACTGGAATTGATGGTGGCTCTGTCTGTTGTAAGGCAATTGGTGTAGGTGCAGTTGCTAGCGATTCTGATGTTGCATCTGTTTTCTTTTTTGATTTCCTTTTTTTCTTTTTCTTTTTTGTTACTGATTAATATTTATGATCATCAATGATATTTTGGATAATTACTGTTAAGGATAGATTCTAATAATAGAAATAGTAACAATTTAAATAATAGTTATCAAAATCACCTTCATTGCTTTGATTTTCTGCTTCCTCGTCTTCGTCGTTCTCTATATCGGCAGTAACATTTTCTTCATTCGCCTGTTGCTCATTTTCTGTTAGAGGGTTTTGTTCAGTGTTCACCTCTATTAAGATAATATACCGAAAACATATATGTTCAATCCAATGTTTCCCTGCAGCCTGAGAAAACCCATAATTAAGAAAAAATGCAAAATACCTGTTACAGCTTCATTCTCCTCTGTAGCAGTCTCAGCGATTGTTTTCTTTTTCTTTTTTTTCTTCTTTTTAGCTATAGTTTCTGCTGCTATTGCTGTTTTTACCTCGGAAGTATTACTTTTAGTCAGGTCGTCATGTTCTTTTACTATATCTTTGACGACTACTGTTTCTTTTTCAACTATCATTTTTCTCGCCAGGACAAATCCGTATCATCGAAATGATAGCTTAAAAACTGAAATCACGTGACTTGTCACATTTTCAGATACAAAAAAGGGACAAGTCACGTGACTTCAGTTTTAAGTGTCTAGCAATCTAATATATATAATATTTTTATTCTTCAAATTCAGAGGTTGATACATCATTTTCTAATACAGGGCGTAGCGATTTCTGAACATGTGATTGACCGATCCTCCTCCTATCGATCTGCGTCCAGAACTGATCATCTTGCGTCGGAGATGATCGTCAATCACGTGTTCGGGAATCGATCCTACGCCCTGTCAATCTGATATCTTGATATTCATCATTAATTTTCTATACCGTGGTTTAAAGAGATTCTATTAAAAATATTTTATTGTTTTAAAGTCAAAAAAATTTAAACTTGACGCATCTCATCTATAAGTTATTAATTATTGTGATAATATAGCTTACAACCAGCTTTATTTTATATAGTTTTAATTTTGGCCAGAAGTTATGTTGATTACCTAATGCAGACCGAAATTATGACTACCAAATAAGTTAAGATCTATCAATTTACGTCATCTATTTTCTATAGTGTACAAGTTTCAGAGGTAAACATGATTTATTAATGTCTTATCACAGTAAAGATGCACCGTATGATTCCGAATATCCGGATATGTCTTCGCCGGCAACGATTCAGTAGCAAAATGTATCGTGGATGATGTGTTGAATATTTCGAGTTAATACCTCCTGAACGTTTCTACTTAATTATTAGTAATAATTAAATAGTCGAATATTCTTTTATATAATATATAACATTAGTAACATCCAATGAAAAAATTAATAGCATAAATATAATACAGACGTACAGAATTAGAAACCATATATATTTTCTAGAGAAGTAACATTATTCTTTTCCATTTGCTATTTTTTGATGTTCTTTTCGTTGCTCATCCGCTTTCGAAAAGATTGACGTGATAAACGATGATTGTTGTTCATTAAGATTTTTCGTGAGTAGGTTATATGATGTATGATTATGTTGTTGAAGCCCTGGATATTCAATATATATGTAAATGCATATATGAAATTAATTTACCAAACTAATAATCCAAAAAAAAAAACATGTTTTATTAACAACGTACCAATGAATATTTCTTGGAATCTAATGTATACATTTATATCGTCTAAAGGTGATTCAAATAATGCCTCTTCTTCCATATCTTGATCAATTTCGTCGTCTTCTTCATTAACGTGGTTGGCAGCCTTTAAATAATAAAAGTCATGGTTAATTCGCATAAGAAAATGATTGTAATTTGTATCGACAGAATTTGTAATATTAGCAATAAAACTAACCTCTTCAGTAATGAATTCCAGATATTTAGTGTCTTCATCTTTCACATCTTCGTCATCTTATAAATAGCAATGATATTAACTTTTATTATAAAATATAAATAAGATAAAAGTAATCTATTCACCTTCAAATTCCTCCTCTTCCTCCTCCTCCTCCTCTTCTTCATCCTCATTATCTTCATCTTCATTGCCATTTAGTTTTGGGTCATCTGTCTCATCGTCAGTGTCAAAGTATTTTTTCATCTCTTGTCGAGCTATATCAAAAAAATAATCATAGAAATTGTAATTAGACCATAATACTTATTAGCTCAACGAATCAAATACAACGTTTGACTTGTTATCATTATATTATTGTTGTTGTTTTATTTATAAAGACCTATCATAAAATTTACCAGCTTCTGCTTTCGGTAAAGATTTAAATGTACTTAAAATTCCTTCAAGGACTTGAGGCCATCCAGCGAGTAAAGTAGACGGCAATTGCTCTACCGGGATTGCAATCAAGGTACACAAAGTCACTATAACTAGTTTTTTATCGTGAACACGGGTAAATTTGTCGAGATTATTAAACCATATCGTGAAAAATCCTTGTGTGAGACCGCGTTCTTCAAGAATGCGTAGTGTGATTAGAGGATTGTAGAACAGAGCGTTTACTACCTATTTATGAAGATTAGAGAGGATTAATAATAATAATAATAATAATAATAATAATAATAATAATAATAATAATAATAATAATAAAAATAAAGGGAAGTCCAAGAAATATTTCATTCTAGAGATAAAGAATGCAATACATACGACTTCTATACAATATACTTTAAGTGCAACATTTGATATTTCCTCTATTCGACCAAGAGGTTCAAAAGCAAGAATAAGAAACGGTTCAACATACTAAAAAAAAATATATAATCTTAAAATCATAAATATACAGTAACAATTCAATAAAAAAAAAAGTTGAAACAAACATGATCCACATGACCACGGCAATTAAGCAATACGGACTCGATAAGTTTGCATGCACAGACGCGATCAACATCACCTAATCGATCACTTTTCATTACCTAATGCATGAATGAAATTAGATTTTTATGAGTGTAATATAAAGTATATATATACGCATACCGTTTCGACAATGTCGTAGATCATTCCTTGTAAATCTGGGGTTTTTACAAAGACTTCTGCTCCATATGAGATATAGTTGTCCAATGCGGGCAGCATTTCTAATAGGTTGATTTAATATTTTTAAGCATTATTATTAGTGTTTTGAAGCTTTAGATTATATACTTTTATACATATACAGTCAAACCTCGATATACCGATATTCCATTATAATGATGACAGCCCAAAGCACTTCTAATAATTTCCTTCGGTATAACCATTTTATAACAAATTCTTGATATAACGATATTTCAGGATTTTTAATAATTATCCCGATCATATCGTTATATCGAGTTTGACTGTCCATAATATCAATAATCATACCTTCCAGGTAATCAATACCAGAAGTTTTAAACGTCTGATAAATCAGTTCAAACACGTTCCACATTGTCGGCGAAATTTGTTTAGTTGAAAAGGTGCAACTATCGATAACATCAAATACTTCGTCATATAAATCTACAAAATTAAAAATTTAATTGCTTAAAGTCGGTCGGTAATTTGAATGCAGAAAAAAAGCTGCAACTTACCAACTATTCCTTTCTGTAGAGTATAGGTGATGACCGGCAATAGAGTATTTTGTAGTTCGGAAAATATCTCGGGTGTAGTGTCCAAACTTAGAATTAAGGTGCTTATCGTTTTTAGCAATCCAGTTGCAGCCATGGTTTTATCACTCGTTCCGTCCAAGTCTATTGCATTATTAAAGTCTTCATCAACGATATTGTATTGTGTTTCTTCTAAGTCTTTTAACAGACGTAAGAATGTGTCACGCTATCAACAATTAAATAACAGACACACCAATTACTGTTACTGCTAAGATAAAAACGATAAAACACGAAAAGCAACATTCAGTATTGATTTTCTTACCATTTGTACACATAACTGTACTGCGAAAGGCGCCAATTCTGCCGAGAATACTTCAACAAATTCTTCCGTGACAGTTGTTAGTGTATCAACATCAATTTGATTTGTTAAATTCAATAATTCTGCGGATTGAATTTAAATTTATGTTGTAAGCAAATAGAATTATTATGGTATAGAAATCAACAAAAGTCTGATTTTCATACCTTGCATAACCATTTGTAAATTAGGAATCAACGCATCTTTGACTTTTCATGTTAAAAAGAATTCATTAGACTAATGTTTATGTTACAATATTTATTATAACAAATAATTACCGAAATCATGGTGTATTAGACTTTGTAATCCTAATGCAGCTTGTACTTTAACGGGTAATTCAGGATCTTGCATACATTCAGTGATTCCTTGAAATGCCGCAGCAAGATTTGACTGGTTTTGGAATTCAATATTGCTAAATCTGATCAAAGTGTCACATGCCTATAATTAAAATTATATATATTAATGAATAAAATAATGTATTAAATAAAATACAATATAATGAATCGCAATAGACTACAAATTTACCCTAGCCCTCAGGAAATGATATTGACTTCGAAATTCCGGGAACACGTGTGTCGTAAAAAACCCTTCCATCAAATGTGCCATATTAGATTTTTTACTCAACACCATATCTGCAAGACATCCAACCATACGCAAAGCACCGTCCTTGGCGCGAGGGTCTCTAGCTTCAGGTGAAGATTCGAGATACGTGTTCAAGATACTGTTGACAAAGCTTAGAATTCCGGTAAAAGTATATTTTTTCCGATATTTTGCCAAATCCATGAGTAAATTAATAGCAACCATCGATGGCGAAGTCAAATCTTCTAATGGGTCAATTTTCTTGTGTACGTATTCAACTGGGTCTTCGTCCCATAACTCTTGATCCGGTTCAGAGAAACACAATTGAGGAAATATAAACTCTGAAACTATTTTTCCACTATGTGCTTTAAATATTTGCCATGTTGTTTTGTGGGTTATACTTTATAGAAAAGAGACGCGTGTTATTGGCAACACATACACATATACTTTGAACCCCAAAATAACACGATTAACTTACGCATCTTTATAAAAATCTGATAAACAAAACAATGCTTTGTTACTAAGCCACTGTTTCTTTTGAATCCATACATCGGTTTGTCGTAAGTACTCATGAAGAATCTGCGGCGCAAAATTATGCACAAAATTCTCAGCGAACCCTTTATATTCTTTGGAGGTTTTGGGAAGTTGTGCAGGGTTTCCATATCTTGAAAATAAACGATTCAAAATGCGATATGCCCACTTTTTCACTTTCCACCATGGATAAGATTCACGATCCTCAAGATCTTCGGGTAACGAAGTTTCGGGTAATGGTTTCGCGATTATTTGTAAGAGTATTGTGCACCAGGGTATCAGAGAGCTGTTCTCTTGGAGTGTTGCTATTAATTCGTACTGAAATTAGAAACGACGTATATTATTTAATATATTTATATAATAAACTCGAAATGATAGAGAAATAAGACTACCAATTTATACCTGAATCACTGAGTTATAAGTTTTGAATACGACTCTTAGCATTTCGGCTGCATCTACACTATCTTCATTAACAAGATTTTGGGCGATTTGAAGGATCGCCGGAAAGGTGGTTTGAATTATTCCTATGAGTGGACCCCGTAATTCATTTGTCTTCCATCTAAATTAGACAACATTATGCTTAATGTAATATAAAACAACAATCACCACCAATACTCACTGAAACACTTTGACAACTTGAAGCAAGGACAACAGTCCAATATAGACCACACGTGGATCATTTGACGCAACAAGCGAGTGTACTTGGTTCATGTAATCTGGCCAGTTATCCGGAAAGTCATAGGTTAATGCTTTATTCAAACATTCGAGAAGTTGTAATCTGCGATAATAATAATAATAATAAATTACAAATGGTTTTATAATTAAGAATCTATTTATGTATTTCTTCTCTGACCTTACTACATTTTGTGCATTTACAAGTATCTGTAGTATCATGCGTTTAAACATTTCGCGATCATTTGTCGAAATCGGGATAGCACCACCGGATTGTGTTTCGCCATCGACATTCCATGATTTTCGAATTCGATTCTTGAGATATATCGCAGCTATAAGAATTAGAATCCACGCGTAAATAAAACATTATTATCTTTCGAGTTATCCAAATAAATGATTATGATTTTCTTCTCGCGTAAAACGCAAAATCCTATTTAATTTGTCTAAACTATGAATTCTTGTCTGTGATTATTTATTTAAATTGTAGTTTTCCAATTTTTAAATATTCTGAAAAAAATTCTAAAATATGTTATATCAAAATATCACGAAAAACTTTTAGTTCTACCAAAAAATGTATATTACACACCCGCTTGTCGTGCCCCAAGCTCTAACTCTTCAGATCCCATTAACTGTAGAATAATTGAGAAGAACTCGGGTGTCGTTTCAACCTGAAGAAAATAGCGTAAACCGAGTAGACTCGTAAAAAAAGCTGAAGACAAACACGCAAACGTGCCAAGCATATTTGCACCTGTTTTATTTGTAACTCGGCTTGCTTTCGTATATTACGATCAGAATGATAGGACGCGCTAAAGAGCTGATAAATGGTATGCGTGTCCATTATTTCCAAAATTTATTTAACCGAGTATACGCGCGAAAAATTTTTGGAATGGTTAGTAATGATCGACGAAAATATTGTCACCCGTAAGATGATAAACTATTTATGTTGAAACTTTTCAATCGATTTTTCGGAAATGGCGGCTACTACCACTACAGATCAGCAAATAGGACCGGCAACATCACCACCTCCACCACCACCGCCGCCACCACCACAACAGGATCTCGATGAAACTGTTTTGAAATATCTTACCCTCAAGGGTTACATGCAAACAGAACAAATGCTAAGGCACGAATCTAGATCTCGTGCACAGTCTCTTAGCGAAACTCCCGCGTTTCAAAACTACATTCTATATTTTAACGACGCAACAAACGTTAGTCCCGAGATTTATCACTCTCAGTATGGGAGTTTTCGTGCCTGGATTGATAATTCATTAGATGCATATAAGGTTTATTCACTTCCGAATTTATATAAATATTCTATTTGAGTCCATATCTGTATTGAGTTGTTATTAAATTTTATATTTACTATTATATTTAAAATCATTAATTTTCTACAGTTAGAATTGAGGGCACTTCTTTTCCCTGTGTTTGTGCATGTTTATTTGGATCTTGTTGCCAAAGGCTTTCAAGCTGAAGGTTCTTTTTTAATTTAACTGAATCACCACCTACCCATTGCACTTTCTTACTATCAATATACTTAACTCTTGTATTACCGTGTTTTCCGAAATAACAGCTGCACATTTAATGGAAACATATAAATCCGATCATTTAGAGTTTCACTCTTCACAAATCAACAAAATCAGTGTGATAACACATCCTCACCATGTACAAGAGAACGAAACTGCACAAATTTTCAGAAATAACAAATATAATCTGCGTTTATCCGATACTGTGTTAGGATTATGCATGAATTATCTGCAGGAAAACAAGTTCAATGTTTTATTGAGAATTATCAATCAATATTTGAATGTAAAAAGTATATATTTGTATATTTTGACGGAAATTCATGAAAACCAACTAATTATATAATATATTGATAGCAGAAACAGGTCATCAATTAAACACTTCATTACCTGAACTCGATCAAGCCAATGGCATCTCGGGACATACATTCGATGAACTTGAGCAATTCAATAAGCAAAAGGTCTATCTAGGCTCGAGGCCTATGGATTCCCAGTTACGAGAAGAGATCGAAACAGTTCTAAAAGAAGAAGGATCACCTCAGGCTATTCATGTTAATAAGCTTTATTCTTACTTATCGTATAATGTATATGCATTTGCTGATTTTTGAATATTATGTGATATGTACGTATGTAGTTTGTTGATCCTATGCCAAGCCCATCTCTTTTACAAGAACATAACCAGAGGATATCTAGGGAGCAGAGCTACGAAGGGTCTGAGAGAGGAGATATTCCTTTTCCACCACAGTAGGTTCAGCTCTAGTGATTACTACAATCAGAATTGCCAGGTTTCACAATTTTTAGCGCTGACAATGGGGCGTTCAGCAAAGGTGTTGACGTTCAAGCTGAAATCGCTGCACTCAACGATATAAGAAACAGAATCACGTTAGGTCCAACTTCCACGTTACCTTCTATCTGTTTTTATACTTTCCATAACAGCTACGATAGGTAAGAATCATTTGGTTTATTGCTTTTTATTATACTGTTATTTCTTTGAAACCCTTTCGTATCTTCGAATTAGTGATTCCTATATTGATATTATGTTTATATATAAATAGCCTAAATTGTCTATCAATATCCAAAGATGCTTCTCTTATAGCTGGGGGTTTTGCAGAGTCTTATATTAAGATATGGAGCCTAAATGGTGAAAAAATAAAAGGTCTCCGAAGTAATATCAAAGCTAATTACGTAAATGGGAGTAAGTGGCTGCAAAATCGACAAACTTTTTTTCTATTAGACATTAATTATGCTCGATGTTATAATCAGCGACATTTGATCTTGAGCGATTTAGAGAAAAAGAAGGTAGTGAATTTAAGCGACTAACTGGACATTCTGGTCCCGTTTTTGGACTCAGTTTCAGTCCTGACAGGAGGTATCTGGTATCATGCTCCGAGGACAAGACTGGTATGGCATTAGACGACAATCGCATTAGATATTTATTAATATTTATTATTAAATAGCTATTTTTATTTGAATAGCTCGTCTTTGGAGCACGGATACGTACACGAATCTTGTTTGCTATAAAGGACATAATTATTCTATTTGGGATATAGATTTTTGCCCTTTGGGTTTTTATTTTGCCACAGCTTCTCATGATCGAACGGCAAGGCTATGGAGTTGCGATCAAATTTTCCAATTACGAATTTTCGCTGGTCATTTATCAGATGTAGACGTGAGTATTGAAAAAATGTTTTTTATCTATTATCTTTATTCTTCATTAAATATAAGTGGTATTATGATAATAATCTAGACAGTGAAATTTCATCCCAATGCGAGATATATTTTCACTGGATCGAGTGATAGGACTGTTCGCATGTGGGATATTCAAGAAGGTGAAACTGTGCGTGTATTCTCTGGGCATACTGGCACCATTTATAGCTTGGCCATATCTGATGATGGAAAACTATTGGCTTCTGCAGGTAAAATATTTTTGTGATATGGGAGGAGCAGATACTTTGCTGTCTTTCTCGATTAATTCGTCATTTTCGGTTTTCTTTGATAGGAGAGGACAAGACTATCAAGATATGGGATCTTGGGTCCGGTAAATGCATTAAAACAATGAAAGGTCATCAAAGAATTATCTACTCATTGGACTTTAGCAAAGAGCGTAGTATACTCGTGTCCGGGAGTGCGGACTCTACTGTTCGTGTATGGGATGTGAATAAGGGGATCACAACGGACATAAATGATAATCCTGAAACACTAATAAGCAGAATTAACATGGAAGATAGTTCTACAGTAAATCCTGTCAATGAACGAGCAAAGCATGCTGAAGAAAATTTACACAGGTATCCTTGTTATAATTAAAAAATGCATAACGTTAATTATATAATTTTTACTTGTCGGCTAACTGTTTATTTGCTTTGGTCTCGATAGCGATGACCTCATATCAACCTTTCCAACAAAACGCACTCCAGTATATAAAGTATTATTTACGCCGCGAAATTTATGTCTAGGTGCTGGGGCTTTTGTCGCCGGCGATCTTTGACAAAGATTGAGTAAATCAAAGTTCGAAATTTGCGTTGGTAATCTACAAAGCCAAAGACAATTTTGCTAAGACTTATTATTTATAAATAGCTAATTATATTTCGAGTCTTCATTGCTACAAATATAAATTTGCCCAGACATAAGATAAATATTATTTTAGGATGATTTCTCTAATTTCCCAATTTTTAATAGGAAATTATTTATTATCATTAATTACATTAATTAGATATTACAATATTTTTTTAAGCAATCAACAATTTCACCCAATCATCATTATGTTTGCGTTACACATTGATCTTGCGATTTGATTTGGTCATCACAACCAAAAATTGGACGCGCGTCAAATTATTTATTATCGTTATTGAGATATGCAAATGGCTTTCAGCACCACAAAGAAAGTAGCAGAACAACTTGAATGGCTCGAACAAAATATTACATTGACTCTCCAAGAGATTGACCATAATTTTTCGTCGTGTCACCAAACAGTGACTACAAGAGTGTTGCCACAAATTGAACGATATGCCGAAGTATCAAGAGACGTGTGTGAAAACGCAAAGGTTTGTTTTTATTACTGGTATTCCCGATTTCTTGAATAAATAGTAGTTTTAATAATTGCATTAATGATTGTAAATAAATAGCTTTGGTTATCATTTTTCGAATCTTTGGATTTAAATTCTAGTGCAACCACTGACTCTTCACCAGACTCACGAAAATCAACGATATCTCTGTTCGGCAGAAAAGGTGATGACTCAAAAACGTCAAAATCACATAGTGCTGCTGTGTCATCGATCTCTTCTACATTTTTCCCACCTCCAAGTTTAAATCATCATCAAACTCCAATCTCGGGCTCAAAAGAACATTTTTTCACGCCAGTTGGGACTTCTACACCTTTTAACTCTGAAAAAATACCTCGTTTGTTTCGACGCACATTCTCGCGACAAGTACCAACCCCTGATTCTTTAGATACTGATTTTAGTAATATTAGCAATTATGCTATGTATCGAAACAACCTTCCGAAAATTGTTGCTAGTCGAAGTAGTAAAGGTACACCGTATCCTCGACCACCTGCCTCAGTCACCTCAACTAATGATTCCGAATATCCGGATATGTCTCCGCCAGTCACGATTCAATTTTCAGTTCCATCATCTATCCTACTTAAAACACCTGCTAAGGAAGCGGCAAAATGTATCGTGGATGAGGTGTTGAATATGGCAAGTCCAGTTCCATCAACACCTTCTGAACTAAATAACGCTTCTATTTTGCCGGAATCCGTGATAAAATTTGATGAAAATGATTCAGATTCGGAATTTGACGAGGATATTTTTCAAAATTTTACTATGGAAATATAATTTACAGAGTGATCGTGGTTTGGTACATGATTTCAATAATATAGATAGGTATAACCCTGAAAGGACTTGCTTGTCTGAGAAATGAATGTGATGCTTTAGTTAATCATATCTATAATACTGGTCTGTGTATGCGTGATTGAGAAATTAATAATTGGATTAAAATTTTGCACATGTGCTATCGACGTGGAATTACGAGTTATAAATGATATTGTAAGTAGCTTTGATTAATCATTAATAACATATTATATTTAAAATTAAAATTTTGAAAATTGGGATTTGAATGTGGAATTTACAGCATTTTTAGGATTATGTCGTAATTTATTGTATATTTGCCATTGAATATACTTCTAAAGAATTCATAGCAAATATTCTAAGCAAGAAATGATACTTGAAACTTTACAAGTATGGATTATAAATGAATATTTAGCATGTGATAATTTAATATATCTTTGATTATGTGAAATATTTGAGTCAACTTATTTAGATTGAAGATTTTCCATTGCTTTCTGAGCTTATTCAAGAGATTGAGAAAGCAAAAAAGAAAAAAAATCTAAAACAAGAATTGAGATTACTTATTTAGCAAAAGCTTATAGAATATAGAAATGAATTAATAGAAATCAAGCAAATTATATATGTAATACATATATAATTTGCTTGATTTATTTTCATATATACAAAGAGTTGTAAATTTGATTTATTAATTAATTATATAAATAAAATAAAGCAAGAAATTTATATTAATTAAATTTATAATAATTCTATAAAAAAAATAATTAAGTAAAAATCCAGTTTTTTTAGTTTTAGAAAATTATAAATTTAGTTAGTTATTTCTCTTTATAAGAACATGATTAGATCATAAAAATTGATTCTTATAGAGAGTTTGTTCTTATAAAAAGATCATTTTTATTATCAATATTAATTATTCGGTTCTCAAAAATTGTGTTCCTATAAAGAGGCATTCTTATATAGCATGTTCTTATATAGAGAGATGACTGTATATATTTCTGAATTAAAATTTGAAAAAATAAAATAATTTATTTAATAATTTTGAAATAGAATATCTCATAATTTCTAGTTTAATCCAAATAAAAAATATATTATTTGATTTGCAAAAACTAAACAAATTCAAAATCAATAAAAAGAAAACTTTTAATAATCAAAAACAAAAAAACTTTAAAATATAATGAATCTATTTAGTTAAATAATAATTAATTAATAATTCAAATAAAAAATCAAAAAAATAAATTTAAAATAAAATTAATAATAATCTTAAATATAAAAAAACTAATTATTGATAATTTTGTAAAAAATTTCTTGATTTAAGAATTAATTTTTTTAATTATTTATTATTTATTATTTTTAAATTTCTATTTAATTTATTATAAACTTTCTAAAAAATAACTTAAAAAATATTTTTTATCTTATTTATTATTAAAACAAGTAGATATATATTGTTACTAATTTAATATATAAATATATAAATAAAAAATGTAGTCATAATAAAAATTAATTATAATAATATTTAGATTATATATTTAGTTTATATATTTAGTTTAATAATTTTTTATTTCTTTTTATTTCTTTTTATTTTTCTTTTTTTTCTTATATTACTTATCTTTCTATATTTATTTTATTATTATCTTAATTTAAATATATTAATCACGCAATTTTTTTGGTAAATTTATTATTTTCTATATTAGTTTAACTTTTATTTTTTATTTTTTATTTTTGTTATTAGTACTGTCATTGTTTTACTTGGGTTTCAAATATATTATATCTTCTTACGTGCTCAACATATGTTTTAAGTCAGGTGGGAGAGATAAGATAAATAACTAAAGGTTGATGACGTTTATTCAATAAATTACTAGTCAGCTAAAAAGTAACTTAAGAAATCTTCTTATAATTTAATATGTATTTAATAATTATGATGATGGTTTATAGACAAGTAAAATATTATAAATTCAATTTATTAAATCATTCTAACAATATGACATCACAACGTG